TCGGCATAATCAGCCACAAGATATCCTATCACAACTCGTACAGGCTATCTCCGTCACAAGCGACATATAAGGCATACTCAGTAACAAACTTCACGCTGGCATAATACCATCTCTGAAATCGCCTGCACACACAATACAGACAAAACCTATATATACATTCTCAGCTTACACAATTCCTCCAAGAACAATAATCAGTATGCTAGTATTATGTGCATTACCTCAAGATGGGCCCTCCTGCCTGGAGTTTAGCTACCAAACCGAATCTTTCATGGTGCCGACCCAAACAGAATTTAGTTACGGAGCGAGACGTCCGTACACAATGACTTTCCAGGCAGAAGAGACCGGGTGCCTCAGCCGAATCACAAAGGATAGAGGAGTGATGACGTAGAATACGCCACGGAATAAGGATAGGTAGTAGGAAAAGTAAGGAAAAACGGTGTGAGCCGCAGCCGCCGCCGCTCGGAGAGGGCACTACAACCAATGAGCCGAAGGGATCGAATTCTCATGCATATCTTTACAGTATACACTATACCACCCTAATATAGGGGGGTTGTCATCTGAATAATATTATCTAGATCTAGTTACCATTAATTTCATTGTCTTTACACAAATACAACAGATTAATCAGCTACATATTACATTTAAACACTTGATGAATCAAAAGACATAAATTCATCTACAGAATAAAAGGAATGTTTCAGCAAAAAAGATTTTAGTTCCTTTTTAAATGAGTTAAAATTTTCCCTTTGTTTTATTTGATTGGAGACCTTATTATACAAACTAATTCCCATGTTTATCACACTCTTAAAAAGAGCTGTATGACAGTGCTGTACATGAAAATTAAATTTTCTTTGTGTGTTATAATTGTGAATGTCTTAATTTATTGCAATAAAAGCTTTATATTTTTTGATAAAGCATGTCACCTCCAATATATACAGAGAAGGCAATGTTAAAACACTGTAATCTTTAAAAATTTGTCTACATGACATGCGACTACTAATACCACTAATCACTCGAAGAACCCGCCTTTGCAATTTAAAAATGCTTTTACTTTCCCCATCCCCACCCCACAATAAGATACATTTCTCATACATGACTCAGAATTCGAAAAATAAATAATAAAATAAATAAAATTTTATCTGCCCATGCTTTTTACTGTATTGCTAATTATTTAATGTCAATTGTACACTTTTGGTGAGCTGTTTGTTCCTGTTAGGAAGTTATTAAAGGTAGTTTGTTTGTCCATCTTCCTTTATACATGTGTTTAAATGGGCTGTGTTTCACCCATAGGAATGGAACACAGGGATAATATGTGCAGACTTCCATTTTGTTTGTGCTGACATTTTTTATTAAATATCTGAGCACATCAAAGTGATTAAATTTGTTTTAGTTTCTAATTTTAGCTTTTCACATAGCGAACACTCAAATGTGTCATATTGCATTCCTCATCATACATATTTGAATTATAATATAATGCTTGAAATTCAGGGAAGGATGATGGACATTAAAGTTTTAAGCATACAAAATATTGTTACCTATAATATGTATATTTTTTTATTGCACAGAAACAGGCCTTGCTAATATTTGATTTTTTGTACTGATATAAGCTCAGTATAAGCTCCGTTTATAATTATGAAAGCATCCATATGGTATAGAAACATGTCTCGGACATTTTCAGCTGAACAACAAATTTAGTATGCTGACAACAGATGCATTGGAAGTTGAAAAGCAAACCCCAGTTCTGTTGAAGCATAAAGGCAGGAACTAAAGTCATTCACAGTGAAGCCAGAAAAAATAAAAATGAAAGAAAGATCTTGTTACCGGGACACAGTCATGGTAGGGAAATTGGCCCCCATGGTTCAAGAAAACCTAGGAACTAAATTTGACGTGTGTAGTATTTTCAAACCAAATGCTCCTCTTGCAAAGGTTGTTAAGGACATAAGGAAGCTTGGTAATGGCCTTACCAAGCAAGATTGTGTTATTGTGCTGGGAGGACCAGAAAAGAGCCCGGAGAGAAACTATCATTAATCAGTTTGAAAATGATCTCAACTTCATTGCAGGGGCACAAGTTTGGGGTTTGTCAACTACTTTGAGAGGCATGACAAGCCATGGATGAATGAGAGAGTTAGGAGCATGAATCTACAGCTTGATGGGGCCCTGTTAAGGCAAGATATATCTCACATTGGTGTTATTGACACATCATCTATTGTCAGGGAACATTGCAGTACACATGGCTTGCACCTAAACTGTCAAGGCAAGAAGAGGCTCGTACAGCTTGTTACTGAGAGGGTTGTTGGTGGTCATGCGTCAAGTATAGGCAGTATTCCTGTTAGAACCCCTGCTAAGGCATCTCCTTTTTTACCTTAAATTCAAAAGCATGTAAGTGCTTAACGCATATTACTACTAAGTTTGCATAGAGTCTGTGCAACTACATAAACTTAGTAGACGTATGCTCTGATCTGCTCTAAAATATATAACTTTGATACCACACACAGGGAATACTTAGTCTGTTCAACTACATAAACTTAGTAGACGTATGCTCTGATCTGCTCTAAAACATATAACTTGGATAACCAAGAGAAATGCAACAAATAACCAATGAATCACATCCCACAAAATTGTATTTATAAACTACATGAGAACATAGCAGGAAATAATGCAACCACCCCTTTCAGCGTACCAACATACAGTGGAACCGTGCTTAATGAGCACCTCTCATAACAAGTAATTCGCATAACGAGCAAAACAAATTGTAAGAAATTGACTCGCTTAACGAGCGACGTTTCACATAACAAGGACGAGAGGGGAAGTACTGGATTGTGCACTTGCTACATCAGTCTGAGTTTAGCACTCGTTCCGCTGGCATCTTAGTGTCACTTGTGATCACACATTTTTCCAAACTTGTGTTCAGACATATTATTTGTGATTATTTTTGTGTGCAAAGTTTAATAACCCTCGCAAAAATGTCCTCGAAGATAAAGCCGCAAAAAGACAGCCATAAGAGAATAAAAATAACAATAGAAATAAAACCTAAAATCATTGAAAAGCGAGAACGAGGTGTGAGCAAGGCTGATCTAGCACGCACATACAATCGGTCTACATCAACGATTTGCACGATTTGGAGTTGCATTGTGTTTCACAGCAAGAAGTTATGGAGGAGAGTTTGTCAGAGGAGGAGGTAACAGCAAAGCAACAATCTTCTGGCACAATAAGAGAAATGCTGAAAGCATGGGAAACTGTTGCATCGTACATTGAGAAGCATCACCCTAATAAGGCAGTGGCTTTGCGCGCTACAAATTTATTTAATGATAATGCTGTCACATTTTCACCAAATTTTGAAGCTTTGGCAAAAACAAATGTCTCTAGACAGCTTTCTAGTAAAAAGAATTAGATATGTATCATAAATAATAAACTAATTATTTCGATTTTTTTTTCTGCAAATCAAATTCGCATTCCAGGTTGGTTCATTCCGCATGGAAGAAAAGATGAAGATGATTCACGCTCCTTACCAATGTATATATAATTTTCTTTGAATAAACATTATACATACATTTTTTTGAGTATTTTTTTCGGCATGCAACACATTATCGTATTTTACATTAATTTATATGGGAAAAACTGTTTCGCTTAACGAGTTTTTCGCATTACGAGTAAGATTCTGGGATGAATTATGCTCGTTAAGCGAGGTTCCACTGTATGTCTGCTAAAGTTTTCACACTACGTAACACAACTTCTAGCTTGAAATTTTAAATATCAATTGTTATAGTATATTTTTATGTCAGTCATATCATATATCATTTAATATTGTGTACTTTTTAATCAGTTTTTACCTTTTTAATATTGCAAATATATTCCCAAGATATATTTGCTACAATACAACAGTCTGTTAACTAATATGGATCCGTATTGTACCCAGTGTGTTTAATTGCTTGAGGTGTGTTGATTTAAGGCCCGATGACAGAACTGTGCTCAAAACATGTTACATAGCTGTGTTTGTAATAAATAAGTAAATAAGTAAAATGTACATTAACATCTACTATCTCTGTGGAAGATATTTCCTTACCACTTGTTATGTTGTGTTGATGGTTATAATACAAAAAAGAATCTAATCATTTGACTAACTGTAGATCCAGGGAATGCAATGCGTTGTAATGTGGTATAAAGTAATGAAATGGTTTTGAAAACATTTCAAATTTCCGTTCTTAGTTTGTAATGGTGGCGCATAAATGCAATCTTTAATTTAAGCCCGTGAAAAGTCTGTATCAGTTAGATTTTGAAATCTGATTGGCTGTGGATGAGGTCAACTTCAGGAGCTGTTCATTTGCCACCGAAGCACCTCATGGGATGTCTTGAATTATATCACTTATACTGGAAACATGGTTTATTGAGTTATTGTTTTAATTGTTAATAATATACAGATAACTTTTATGGGAAAATTTGTTTGTTCAAAATACATTTTTGTAATTGTGTTCTTCATTTTTTGTAACGCCACATACTCTGCTAGACTCAATAATCATGTTATATGATTAAAGTAACAAACATGATGCAATTTCCTCAGTGACACTTCTCCCAGATGCAGGTTCTGTAGAATTTGTGACAAAGGGTAACACTGAAAAAATAAGTGTTAAATGTAATGAGTGGTGTCTCAGAAAATTGAAATAAAATGGAAGTTGAATCATATTTATGTTGAATGGTTTTATCATCTGGCGGACTATCCCAGAATTCGTCATAACTGCGTCTGTTGGAGCATCAAATATTACACGTTTATGTTGAAAAGTTTTATCCTCTGGTGGACTACCCCAAAATTCCTCATAACTACTGCTGTGATAGCATCAGATCTTACACATTTATGTTGAAGAGTTTTATCTTCTGGTGGACTATCCCAGAATTCAGAATTTAGAAATCTTACACGTTTATATTGGCCATGATATAAAAATGAAAATGCAAGTTATTATTTGCTTTATTTTTGACTACTGTATACTTTGATTTTTCTGTTATAGATTTGGAGATGGTTGAAGGCAGATTCCCGCAACCGAAAGGAACTCTTAATAACCTATATGCAGTTGTAGCCCAAGAACTGAAGAGTCCTAGTTACCGCCTTCAGAAGAGTTACCGGATGGTATCTGTTCGCACTGGGAAGGTTAACAACATCATGTGGGCTTGCACGTACAAAGTGAAGTGGCCTAGAGAGGCCAGCTTTTCTGCAACAATGTCAACGAAAGCTGCTGCTGGAAAGCAAGCAGCACTGAAAGCTCTGCATTGGTTACAGGCACAAGGCAAACTGACTCAACGTGGAGCCCCACTAATGTTTGATAAGAGTGAGATTCAAGGAATGACAAGAGTACCAATAGAAGTCACTGTCGATGTTAGCACTAGTCAAGATATAGATATGCTTATTGACTGGTACAAAAAGGTTTGTACAATTTCAAACTTCATATCTCAGTGTAGCAACTTACATGGTAACTATGGTGAAGCTCTAATGTAAGGTAAAGCCATCCGTGTAACAGGCTGTAGAGGCCCATGGGGTTATAACAGCTCGAGGCTCCAACATTTTCTAGAGAGTGGGCTGTGAGGTCAGCCTTATGTGTTGGCTGCCCTTTACCCCCCAGGAAGATTGCTGCTACTCACTTCTGTTAGAGGATGAGCGGACCCCAGGCCCATAGTGTGGCTGTGAAACTGAATAACTACATTCAGTTTCCACTGAATATTAACTTCTGGATGAAGAATAGTATGCTGGGCTTTGGGTGGCAGGGTGCTGCAATTCCTTCTGTTAGATGCTTTCTAATTCCCTTTTAAGATAGGTGTAACCTTTTCAGAGTGTGGGCCATGTTGGAAAATTCAGAGTTAGTTGCGGGTCAGTTTGAAGGTTTAGTATAAATTATGCTTATATTAATTGTAATTAACTTTCGTTATAAACTGTTACTGGCCATTGTAACTGTGTGTGCAGACTGAGCCTCGCGTTTTCTTAATACTAATACTGTTACCTCAGATTAAAGGTCCTTATACCTGAATGATTAAGGTTAATGTACTTATTGTAATAGTGTAAAAGATTATTAACACCATCCAGTGTGATTGATAAATGTTGTGTTTTTTTTATCTTTCATTATTGTACTTTATAATATTGTGACATGTTGAGCTATGGATGATGCCCCTCCCCCCCGCCAGCCGAAGTGAGCCGAGCGGAGCCGAAGTTAGCCGAGTCCCAGCATCCTGGTAGCTATGCAACGCGAGTCAACAGCGGTGACGTCACCAAGGTGCACCGCGGTTGCTAGGCAGCGCGGGTAAACAGTTGTTGCGAGAGACGACGGTAGTAACAACGGTACACAGCGTTGCTGGCACGATGGCACCAGACATAGTGGTGCCTATTACGTGGCCGTTTTCTGTATTGTCCGATCGAGGCTACATAAGGAGCAGCGAAGGCTATTCACAGCCAGTCCTGGAGCTACCTCCGAGTTAGTCTTCGAGCTACCTCCCAGTTAGTTCCGAGCAAGCCTACTAGCCAGCGGCATGTTACGAGTGAAAGTGTGTAATTCAGGGAGACTTGTATAGCTCCCGCGTCATTAGTACGTGAAGTCTACTGACAATAGCGTGATTTGATTATTGCGAGGGTTATAAATTGTGAAACCCCGCAATATTGTTATAATTGATTGTAGCCGTGATTTGTACATTGTTAAATAAACCAATTAACAATCCATACGGCGTCTTCAGTGACGAAACACGTTACACTGGTGTCAGAAGTGGGATTTGAACTTACACACGTGACCAACGAGCTTCGAACTCAAGACACGTGACAATTTGGTGTCAGAATTTGTACGAGCTTAAATACGCCTCAGA